GGGGGGGTACTCGAGCCGGGGTAACTTTTGGACTCAAAAGGGAAAAGGGAAGCCCCCAGCAGCCGACGCCGAAGGGGGAGGTGTGGGGTGGTGGGGAGGTTGGTGGAGATGTGGGTAGGGCCGCAGGGAAGGGAGGGCTGGAGATGTACACTTGTAGAGTTGTGCTCCTCTGCGGTCGGCCGCTGTTACCTGCCGCCGCTTGTGAGTCCACAGCCCCCTGGGTGCCTCTCTCTTTCTCTCTCCTGCTCACGAAGCTGGGCACAAGCCGGGCGAGAGAGCGGCGATGCGGCTGCGGCGGCGGCTGCTGGTGGTGGTGGTGGTGCGGCGGCAGCAGCAGCAGCAGCAGCCTCGTCGAGGCAGAGAGGCGAGGCAGGCGGAGAGGAAGGAGGAGGGCTTTACGCCGTGGTGCGGCCCCGGTCGCGTTGGTCGCAGCCAGCAGACTCCGGGCGGGCGACGGGCGGCCGAGAAACCGGTGGTTGTGCGGAGACGAGCAAGGGGTTAAACCTGGCGGGAGGAGGCCACGCGATCAATGCGCACGACTCCGCGCTCCCGTGCGCGCGCCCGACATCAAAGGGCTGCGCCGCGACAGTGATTGACAGCCTGATTGACTGGGGCTGGCTCGGGTCCCGCTCTCCCGGAGAAAAAGGAGGCGGGCGTTTGCACGGGGGGTGGGTGGGTGGGTGGTTTGGTTGGTGGTAGTGAGGAAGGGGAGGGGTGGGTGTAGGGAGGAGGATGATGATGGTGGTGATGATGGGGGTTGTGGAGGGGAGGGTGTGTTGATGGGGGAAGGGTAGTGGGTGTAGGGTGAGTTCCTCCAAAGACCATGAACCCAGAGCTGGATCCGATTTGGTGGTGCAGTTTGCGGGATGGATTTTTTTTTCTTCCATTAGCATAGGAACCAGGGGATACGTGCGTACAAGGACTCGGAGCTACCGCTGCCACCGACCACGTAATGATTCCCCATAGTCGGGCGAGTCAGATTGACGCGGCTTCCAAAGGCGGTAGCAGCTGCGTCATCCCCATCCCCCAAAACTTTACCCCTTTGAAAATCACAGCCCAACCGGTGATTTACAGTCGTGAATGTTGGCTCTTCGCGGAATCATATCCCAACTTGTACGGTTACTTAATTCCATCCGTACAAATGCGGCGGCTGCGGCATCAGCGCGTAAAAAGTTGCTGCACCAACTTTCACGAAAACTTTGATTTTGCTTGCACTTAACGGCTGTGTTCTTAATGTTCACCCCCTCCCCCCCCCCCAAATACACAGTCGTCTGCTGAAGTTCGACAGGGTGCCTTCACCGAAATTAACGCGAACCATTCTATGCCTGCCATTGTTAATGCTATCGTGATTTCCCCGTGGAAATTGCACTGTTTTTGTATTTGTATTTAACCAACTAAGCAGTGTAAATGAGCTAAGACGGTGGGGGCAGTGTTTTGTGCACTGCAGAGTCACCTAATGTTGTTGTTGTTCAGAACCACACCAGAAACACTCTCATGCCAACGTTGGAAAGCTCACACCGAGCCCCTACTATATACACAGTTATAAATCCAGTCGTTCGTCTTAAAAAGATTCCCCCCCACCACCACCAAACACACACACAGCTTCCTGTCTGCAGTGCATCCTGGCTCAAGCAAAGGGCAGCTCGTAAAAAAAACCCCAAGCGCAATATTTACATCATAATCGTTAACAAAAACAACATGTACACAACGGACGTGCGCGTACCCGTACGTAGGACAACAACCCCGTTAAGAAGCAACGATTAAAGAAGCCGAGTTAAATGTCTCGGCAAGCAACAACAACCCACAAGAGATCAAAGCATTACAGCCACCCCACCAACTACCACGTCCACCCCAAGAAGGCCACCGCTACGTGGAATCGCGCGCACACACGCACGCGTCAAAGGCACAGAGGCAATGCCAAAACACACACACACACAAAGGCGGCAGCCTTAAGAAAGTGGAAGTGTGTGGTTGTGCGCGCGTGTGTGTGTGTGGTGGTGGTGTTGTACAGTGAGAACGGCGCAACAATCGCGTGCAATAAGTTCCAGAGAGGAGGAGGCACGGCTCGCGAGGCCACATGGCAGCAGCCTCGCGGCACGCGGCACCGCTCACGCCCGCGCGTCACGTGCGGCGCCCCCCTCGCAGCCAATGGAGCCGCTGCTCGCGCGGCGCTTTGATGTCCCCGCAGCCCGCCGCTTGCCGCTGCGCTTGAGCGACTTATTTATTTATTTAGCCCCCCCCACCCCACGTCTTTTCCAAGGCTACTGCTTGCCGCTGTTGTTGCTGCTGCTGCTGCTCCACGCATGGTCCGCTAACTCGCTGGGGCTGGCTGTCGGCGATGGGCTGTGCCGCGTTGTTTTGTGCGCGCGTGTGTGCGCGTGCGTGTGTGTGTGCGCGTGCGTGCGTGTGCGTGTGTGCGTGCGTGCGTCCACGGTGGTGGTGGTGGTGGTGGTGCAATCGTATGGGGGGGGAGAGGCGGTGTAACGGTGAGCGCGTTGCGCCGGTGACCCCAGTTCGATTCCCGCTCGCGGCCGCCAACACCGGCGACGGGTTGTCTGAAACGGGACCAAATGAGCACAGTACTTCGTGCGGTGGGTATGCAGCGCCACTAGGGAGACAAAGGTGGCCGGGCGTGGAACTGGCCACCCCTCCCCACTTCCCCCCCCGTGTGCCGTGCCGGCCCTCACGGGTGCTCGTGAACAGCACTTAATGTTGTGTGGGTGAATATTTGTCTTTGTTGGTATCTAATGCCATCCCTTCGTTTCGTTGAACGCGACTGTCCGCGTCAATGTGGAATTCAGGCGTATCCCCGATAGAGCGAGCGTGCCACTGTGGACTGTCTGGTCAGCTGTGGAAGAGTGCGTTTAAAGTGCTCCCCTTTGAACAGGCACACGCTTTCTGCTTAGCCACGGCCACCTATGTAGGGAAATACCCTTCATTTTTACATTCAAATACATTATTCTGCATGTTACGCAGTCGAGAAAAGTTTGAAGAGCGGTCGTCTCGCGAAGACACACACGTGTACACGCTGAGTGGATATTGTAACCCCGTGTTGGTGTTAAAGAACATCAACGTGCAGTATACGTTGAATAACATCATCAGCTATGGTCAATCCAGATGAAGGCTTCGCCCCAAACTGGCCACAGTTTCTCACGACGTAGCGATGATTGTAATATTACACCCGAGCATCCTGCACACGAGTTCATTTTGTCGCTCCATCTCCTGGATGGGAAAATGCCAGATTTCATTCGGCACGAGAGTGGCACACGCAATACTCTCGAGTTGCGATGCGTCCGGTGTATTGTTTCAAATTCTGTTGAGTGGTAATTCGCACACTTTAACACGAGCGGTTATATGGGAAGATGAAAGATTCGTGTCAGCTTCTGCACACTTTTAACATCCCGTTTTGAAATGCTTTTGGTAAGTCATATAGACACACGCACAATGTGTGGGCGTGTGTGTGTGTGTGTGGGGGGGAACTGTTAAAGGCCAGCCAAAATAAAGCGCATTTGTGAAGAGTATAGGAACTCTTTGTTTTTATTGAAGGAAGGAAGTTCGTTTGAGGGAAGTTATTGTAAAAAATGTATGGTGGTCTTATGTCACTTGTGGGCTTGTGGGCACACTTGGGGTACTCTGATAAAGCCTCTACTATACAGAGAGCCAGGGCCGTCACTTCGAACTCGCACGGACCTGCGATAGCCCACCCCGACCTGCTCATGCAAAACCTTCACACGCTATCGTGTCACAAGACGCGCGCTATAATCCTGCAATCGTACACAGCAAGTATACGGGTGGAGCGTTTCGCGGTCCGTGCATTGTGCTCACATCAGAGGCGAGCAATATCTGACACGGTAATATTTCCCCCATTTCTCCAACCTACACTCACCAACATGGTGAAGTATGGTGAAAACATGGCGGCCAGAAGGGGCCCATCATCCAACAGTGGATTGAGGCAGGGCTGTAAAGTATTCGTTTCTTTTACACGAGTATTCTAATGCCCTTAAACTGGCATAAATTTGAGGTACCGATCAACTTGACACGTGTTACCCAACTTGACGCTGCCAACTGTTGCAATATTAGTTATCGCAAGGAATGAATTGGGTGTTGGTGTGTTTCTAACGTGCATGGCGCATAGGAACGGCACAGTTTGTGTTGAGCAACTGGGTGAAATGTATCAAAAATTACGCAGTTCTTTAACATCTTTCCGTTGCTTCGCATTGTGAAATCGACTCCCCCTTCACCGCACTTCCTTCTTCGCAAATGCAAACGCCATTTATTTGCTGTTTGTTGAAAATGCCCCCTCTCTCTTTGTACGTCGCGTTTTCGGCCGCTAAAAGCAGGCACCACTCGTCCTGCGCTCAAAGCTCTCCACGCGGACTCAAATGTGGCAGAGGTATACGGCAAGATCAAACAACCCCAAAACGAATGGGTCGTTCCGTAAAGGGCTTCCCAAATACAGTGGTAATAACGCGACTTGTTTGGGTAATTAAGAGTCGCGACAAATCGGAGCGCCACCCGGTAAAACAGTGCCTCGTGGCGATAGCTGTTCGCCACCACAAAACTCGTGGTCAGCTCGAATCTTTCACCACCACCACCCACCAGCTCTTCCCAACCCCCAAACCCAAGAAAAAAAGGGTGAGGGAAGAAAGAAAATCGCAGATTTGGCAAAAGGACAACTCAACTGCCTGCATGGCTCGGATTTTTTTTCTCCAAAAAAAATGTATTTCTCTCCAGAGCCACCACGGAGGAATCTGCACTGTTCTCGAGCTAAGGGTGGGAGGTGGTGGGTGGCTGGGGGGAAGGGGGAGGGACGGGAGAATGGGGGGGGGGGGTGCCTTTGGGGATGAGAGAACGGATGAGTGAATAAGATGTGGGTTTGGGTGGTGGTGGTGGGTGGGAGATATGGACGTGGGTGCGGGAGGACGAGCTCGTGAACGTGCGACGGGAGACGCGCAATACGGATGGGCCTTCGTTTGGCGGTCGTGTGGATGTGAGGATTGGGAGGAGGGGAGGGAGGGATGGATAGGAGTGTGTGTGTGTGTTGGGGGGGGGGGCTGCACCCCGTTGTCGTGGATACGCCTGGCTGCTGCCCCCGGGGCCGGGATTTGGGGGCGGGGCCGTGCGGTCTCTTTGATCTGGCGGCGGCTCCCTTTGTATGCCCGTATAAGGCACGTCCTCATTCCACACCGAGTGCGTGCACGCGTCTGGTTCCGGGAGCAGACCACGGCTCGCACCTCCCTCGCCTCTCTTCTCCTGCCTCCTCCTCCTCCTGCATCCTCCGTGTGCATGCGCAAGTCCCCCCCCCCCCTGCTCTTAGCATTGACTGATACGACAGTATTTTTTAAAGCATCATCCAGCTATACTGCAGTATATATGTTGGTTTTTTGTGTGTGTGTGTACAGTATATATATTTACACGCACGTTTTGTACGCTTCTGTTAGTTCGAATGCAACTACGTTTTGTATGTTTTTTTATTTTTATACGATTGCAAAAAAATGTTTAACGTACGACACACGTTCGGTTCCATTTTTATACCCAGGAACGTTAGCTTCAGTAAATAATATTAAGTTCGTAGCAACACACAACAATTACGCGCACGTATCGTTCAGAAAATGTGCAATAGTTTGTACTGTAGTGTGTGTATACTGTATCCATACATACTGTACGATACTGCATGGACAGCATTTGACTGCTTATAGCCGACACTAACCCCTTGCATATGCGTGTTGTTCAGTACTTGCAGGGGCGATGCCTCCTTTGCCTGGCGGTAACAACTCTGTCAAATCGCCGTGACATGGGTCAAGTTCAAGGCGTTCATCTCGGCGGTGCCGGCAGCGGTGGCGGATGCGCTTCTCCCTCCCGTGTGCGCCTCGGTTGAGACTTTAGACTCAACCTTCACATCTTTCCCCAAGGTGCCGCGAGTCGGAATGACAAGAACGCCGTCCGCCTGACGAGGACGTCACCCAACTGTCAGAGAGGCACGGACCCGCAAGGACACGAGACCCACCAATGGCTCGGTCCAAAGATCGAGTGCCCACCGTGTCCCGTTAGCTTCGCAAATGCCTTCCACGTGCGTCTCCGGTTGTGTATTTCATAATGCGCAACGTTGTCTGCCGTCCGGCACCAAATGTTGCATTGTTGCAGTGTGCGAGCTTGTGTGTGTGTGTGCGTATCAACGCAGTACACGTTACGTGTGCAGCGTGCGTACACGGTGTGTGCATTAAGTATTGCACCGTCATCGGTAGCGAAAGATATAGAGTAAATTCCGTGCAATTGTGTGTTAATTTAGCGCAAGGCGAAAGTTAAAATGCACGGCCTCAATGTGGCAGGCAAAATTATACAATGGCATGTGTGTGTGTATATATACACATGCAATTGGCCTATAGGTAGGTATACATATGCTCGGATCGTTTTAAAATGAAGGCATTTTACGGCGATGTACAAAGGTAAAAATTAAGTCGCATATTAAAGGCTATATAAAATGACGGCATCGATTTAATGAACACGAGGAAACAATTCTAAAATGTAATGTAAATTAAATTATTCTGGCATCCACGCCGATTGCAAATAGGCCATCGTGCCCAGTACCGCACGCAAACACCTCGCTGAAAACACCCCTCCTGCCCTTTATCACGTACACGCGCATACTGTAGCCACATTCATGCTCTACATTGCTAAAAGCGCTTGTGTCTATGCGTACATGCTTTGATGACAAACACTGGCCCATGTACGCACGTGACTGAAAGCACTTGTCTAACTGCCGCGTGCTAAATCAGCGCGTCGTTTGTCCCGCGATCGCACGTGCGCTGCTCTGTAACAATTGAACAGTGAGTCATTAGGCGATTTAGAAAGCCGGCGGTGTGTTCTTGTGCATTTGTCAAACAATTCTAATTTGTCCTGGGGGTGGTGGGGCTGCGAAAGCCGAAATGCGCGCGCGTCGCAAGATGGGGAAATTACGCCTCGGTGTCGTTTTGTGACGCCCACAATTTGCGTGAATTATTTTCGCTGCACGTGGCGACGATTTATTTAACAAACACTGCCATTGTCCGATTGTTTTTATTTCACAAGAAACCCACCGAGACTTCGAGTCTCGTACAGGGACTGACAATATAATGCGAGCCCTATACGATGTGCAGTTGCAGCGTAAGACAATATGTTGTGCAGGTCAGATAAATAACACATTTAAGTTGTAACTCCTGGTTATGTTAACGCGGTGAACAACACTCTGTAGAGTTTATGGGACCGTTTTCATTACACTTGTACGTTTAAGTCGCGCATTTAATTCACATATGGTCATACATGCATGTACCTTACTACGCATTGTAAAATATTTGCAGTACTGTATGTCTTATTTGTTTTTGCACATGTTCAGTGTGCGCGAACGTATTTTTTGTGAATTTTCGAGCACGTGCATTAATAAGGCAGCAACAATCGCAATCAACAGCGGGAAGAGAATCAATAAAGGACGATTGCAATGAATGAAGGGCACTCCCCTGTCTTGCATCGGCAGAGATACTGAGTCCATCAACTTTTTAGCACGGAGGTTTGTGTCCGAATCTGTGGTCTCGCCCACTGAATGCGTAATTTCTCATTAAATATATTCTGCGGGCCCCCATCCGGATCCATAACCCTCCCTCCTGCATCATCTTCTCTCCCCTTTATCTGGTTGGGGAGTGGAATAGGGAAATATTTCCTGCTAAAATTAAGCCCTGTACCCAACTGAATCACTCACCCCGTCCAAGTGAAATAATCAGAGCCACTTAGCAGTGCCACTGCCTAACTCCCCACGCATGCCGTTTCATTAACAAATCATTTGCATCGGAGATGGCTTTCCAAATCCCAAGGACTCGAAATACACCACGGCACGCCTTTCCATCTCTACCGTTCTGCATTCAAATTAAGTCGTTATTAGACGCTGCACGCGTCTGATGATTGGTAATCACGTCCCCTCCGCTGCTCGCCATCTGGGGGCACACGTGTGTGTATCGCACGTGACGTATTTAGCGCGCGCTGATTCAAATTGCAAAGCCTCACGTGCGACACACACGTGTGTACATGCACGCACATGATCTCAATTAAAATTGTCGCCTCAAATAAGCCACGTGGAAGACACGCTGCAAACACACCCTCCCACCTCTACCCTTAATTGGAATACACATGCTCTCAGACTCCAACTCACGGCCACCTGAGTTAGATTACCGGCCACGGCTAACATCATAAGTGACAGCATCTGAACCGGTTGTTCCACCCGCACCTCCACAACTTAAGTAATCTGGGGACATACCTGACCAGCGTGGTGCAACGCAGTACGATCCATCATCCCCCATGAGCAACACGGCGTCGGGAGGCCTTCGTAATCATTATATTACGATTCAATATACGTGGACAGAGGAATTGATTTCTGCCAGATATGTCCATGACTGAGCTTCGGACAAATATTGCCCCCCCCCCCCCACCGCTCCCAGCTGTCAGAGGAGGAGACGGGGTCTGGGCTATTAAGGGGACCCCGAAAACTGTTCAATGATAAATTGAGAAACCAAGCCCCTGCGTGGGCATCAGGTGCACGTTACAGACCACGCCCGCACTTTTAACGAAATGCAGCGTGACCCTCTCTGTGAACGCGACTACGCACACACGGGGGTCGGGGTTAAGCTGGCTTAGCCACCGCTTTGCGAGGCTTGTGGCGGCTCGATTCAGGGCACTGTCTCCATTCAACACGCGGCGCACATATATGCAAAACGAATGCTCGTGAATGAACGCGCTCGTAAGCACGGTCCGGACCACAGAGCCCTGTTTACAGCCTGGCCAAAACTCCCACGAGCGCCGCGGTGGGGAGACGTCAACTATCTTACCTGGTATACAGGGGGGCGTGGGTTCGATCCCGGCCCTTGACGATGCCTGTACATTTAGAGTTTGCATGTTTCTTCCCGTGGTCGCGTGGAATTTTCTCCGGCTCCTCCGGTGTTTTCCCTCCACATTTAGAAACGTGCGTTCAGGGCATTTGGGCTGCTATAAATTTCCACGTTGAGCTATCATTTGTGGCCAGGTCGCTTTTGAAAAAGAGCTACATAGCTAAGTGGGCTGTACCTGGTAAAAAAAAAAAACATGTTTAGTTTAAACTACATTTTGCCCGAAGTGGTATTCGAGAAATCCGCGAAGCTTATCCAGTTTATTGTAATTTTCCACCAACGCCAATCCATTGCAGGTTGAGGTTCTTCCCACGCCTTTCGGGTATAGGGTAAGGATTTGTTTACTTTACTTCCCATGTGGGTTAGGGGAGGGGGTGGGGGAGGGGGTTCCCCGGACTAAGTTCAGATATCAATTCGCAACCGACGTTAGCTGTGGACGCGAACTGATCTCGCCAGCTTCATATCGCAGTGACCTAACCAGTGCGCCACCGCTCCACCCCCAGATAAGCGACGTGGAAACTAAAATGATGAAGTACCAAGTAACTACTATATATAGTACTTGTTTTATTGTTGCTGGAATGTTTTGTAACGACAGAATGTGTTGTTTTGATGATAGTAAGTTTGGGGGGGTGGGGGGTACTGTATTTACAAGTCGTGTGAGAGAGGGGTTGGGAGAGACGGGGAGTGATCTCTGCAGTGTGGATTGACTGAGACAGGAGTTAATGCATGGACAAGGGGGGCGGTAGGATACGGGGGAAATGGCTCTTTTATGTCTTGGTTTTTCATTTACAAAAAAAAACACATTTTAAAGGCAGCTTCGCATCACATATATAGATCGCAGGCGTGAACGTGGAATGCTGAGCATGTTAGTTACACGTACACAGCAATGTATGCGCCCATGCTATCATTGGGATCTACGGATGAAGGTGGCTAGATGTTAACGACCTCGCCAGGTATACAGGAGGTTGTGGGTTCGACCCCGACCCTGACGGCCTGTACGTTTAGAGTTTGCACGTTCATCCGCCATTGGTCGCGTGGATTTCTCTCCGGGTCCTCTGCTTGGAGAGTATTTTTGGGTGCTATGCATCTCCGCACCACGATAAGCCGCTTCGTTGAGCTATCATTTGTTGTCCAGGTCGCTTCTGAAAAAAGAGCTACATAGCTCAGTGGGCCTTACCTGCAACAACAAAAAATGCGAATTACAAATGTAAATTATTATGCAACCAGTAATCGCTCCAATGCATCATTCAAGTCCAATGATACAACATATATCTTTACAGAGGGAAAGTGAAGCTACAATAATAATAAATTCGATTACAGTACTTTGTCAGTCCACTGCTGGATGAATGCCCACTCAGACCGTGTTAGTCATCGAGCAACGTTTGACCATACTTCACCACGCTCGGGCGGCTTAGGATCGGTTGAGATTACATTCGCCACTCATGTTCTATGTGACCAGGAATTGAACTCGGTTGACCGAGTTGATATCGCAGTGCGCTGACCACTGCACCACCGCTCAACCCAAAATACTACTCAAATTAATAATAAATAATGCCCTGTATTTACCCTTGAAAGCCTCACGATAAGTCTGAAGACTGTGTTTTTCTTTCTCCAGGAGGGTAAATTCTATACTGGGGATGTTTGGTCGATCGCGAACGTGTGGCTTCCTATGGATGGTAACCCACGGTTACAAGGAGTTAACTCTCAAAGCTACGCACCGACAGATCCAATAATCCACTGCGCTACCGCCACCTGTCGTTGGCTCACCTGGCAGCCTCACACAGAGACAATGTCAAACATATCGAGAGCCAATACGCCGTATGCAGACTGATTTGCATGGCCTTATAACAACACATACTGTGTTAAGATAACAAAAGGGGTTCCACAGGGTTCCATCCTCGGCTCCCTGTTGTTCTCTCTTAATGTCAATGACTTGGGCAGTGATCTGGATCATTCCAGGGTAAATCTTTTTGCAGATGACACGATACTGTTTACTGCTGGCCGCCTTCCGGATGACGTGATTGCTAAGCTACAGGGTGATTTCAACAAACTACAACATCAGCTAGTTGCTCTTAAACTAATACCTTCAAAACCAAGGTGCTATGCTTCTCACCAGGACTAAAGCAGGAAGTTATTTTTCCCCAATTACATTCCTTAAATAATTATCAAATAGAACAAGTCAAGATCTATAAGTATCTTGGGGTCATCCTGGATTAAAAACTGAATTTTGAAGATCACATTGATTATATTGGTAAAAAGACAAATAAAAATTGGTTTTCTGTATCGACACAAGCACTGCTTCCCCCCAATGTTCCGTTTGGAATTGATAAAAGCTACCATGCCGCCTCTACTTGACTACTGTGACATCGTGTATAAATCAGCCCCAAGTACTGTACTGAAGAAGCTTGATTCCATCTATCACTCGGCCTTAAGATTTACATTGAACTGCCCATATAGGACTCACCACTGTGATCTCTACATTGGGTCAAACTTAACATCTCTTAATGTTTGACGGCTTGTGCACCAGATCTTATTTATTCACGATGTACTTACAAAAAAATCCGCAGACTACCTGCTGGATCTCCTCTCTGTTTCAAAGAACAAATTTGACCTCAGGTCTTTGCTCATTTACCAGCTTCACATTCCCTATTGCCGTACAAAAACTGGAGGAAGGGCCTTTGCTATTGATGCCCCCAGGGTCTGGAATGCTATTGCCAATAAACTGCAACTTGAATCGCTACCAATGAGATTTTCTCTCAAAACTGCTCTAGAGGAGTTGTACACCCCTAGCTGCCACTGCTATTCATTGGCGTCATATAAAATAAAATGTTTCGCTCCGGATGACGCTGCAAAGTATTATCTATATTTTGATTTAGCGTGCTGATCTTAAATGTGCATTGAAAAATGTGATACTCCGAATGATGCTTCTGTTGTTGTGGAGTAACTCATGCAGCCAGCTATGGCTCTAGGATTTGGTGTTACATGTTATTTATGTAGTTTATTGTAAAAATTCGATCACAGTCCCTGTGATCACTATTACGTTGCAATTATGGCTTTATTTTGTGTTGATTTCGAAAACGTTTTTTGGTTTGGACATGTTTATTTTGTTGTAGTACGGAGTTAGACTGACGGCCTTAATCTAAGTTTTCTTGTGGTTGTTGTTGTTTGACTTGCACCCCACTGGGATTTTTTGCACACAGCCTTGGTGTAGTGTGCTTTTTTCAGGAATATTTTGCTGTTTTTTTTCATGGATTTTCTGTTTGCAGTCACATAGTCACTTTAAGATGTTTTTTCTTGTTCGTGTTTTTGTTTTTTTGTTTGTTGTGGTTGCATCCGATTCAAGAGCCGAATGGCTCACAGGGCTATACCAAAATAAATAAACCGAAACTGAAAACTGCTAAGCGATGGTTCAGCCGAGGACAGATTTGCGTTTCAACATCTCACGCTCCATCGCTCCCGCGTGTGTTTTCTGGTTATATCGCGTCTTGATCGGAAACGATGGGTCCGGCGTTTTATTTTTTTGGCCCCACGTGCTAAGGAGCTGGCAAGCTTCCTTCAGCTCTCGCCGGA